ACTATATATATATATATATATAATTTGAAAAATGGTAATTTTTTGTCCAAGTGGTCTTCTAACCTAGGTGAACCTCCAGTAATTTTTTCCATGACAAAAAAATTACTTTGATTAACTATACAAATTAAAATTGAAAATCATTTTTTCTAAGTTAAAATAATTATTTATAATAAATTAAATTTTGAAAAATCACATTTTATCCTTTAGTATCTTAATTGACCCATGAGCGGGGTACTCTAAAAATTTCAAAATCATTTCAATTATACTTAATGAGTTATGGAGTGGAGAGCCCTAGCGGCACTGGTAATTTTAGATTTTGGTGCATTAATAAAGATTTAGGATTAACTAAGAGAAAATGAGTAATTTTGATAACAATGAACCATATTGGATGTTTGAAATATAATGTGTTAAAGAGGTAGAAATCAACTTGCCACATTTTCATGAAAAGGCTAAAATTGTAATTTCTTAAATTATTAGGATTTGGAAGTCAATTAAACTTGGATGATTCTAAAGTGACGAGCTTGGGTTAGTAAGAGATAATTCATTAATTTGAAGCCCATAATTGGTGATGATATGATTTTTTGTTAATAATATATCTCACCTAAATTAAAAGTTTGATAAATGCAAATTTAGTCATTAAAATTATTAAGGGCTTAGTAGTGAGCTATGCTTGACATTTAAACTTATTTAATGAGGTTTAGAAATAATAATATGATTGATAATTAACACCTCTAAACCACTACAAGCCCAATTTCAATGGTGGGCATAAAATATTTAATAACTTAAGCTTGTCCTGGGGGCATCTTCCTGCATAACTGTTAAGTAAAATATCAACTGATTTACTGAGTTTCATACTCTTGAGATAATTAAAATATCAGGTTCACTGAAAATAAGGTGTATTTACCTATTGTAATTAAATTAAAAAATTGGGATGATCAATTGAACAATATAATAAGTTCAAATAGACTTGAAACACTTCAAAAGGTATTTAAAAGTTGTTAGGGATTGTTCCCCAAACGCTTTTATGATATTTTGGATGTTTTGAAGGATAATTGAACTTCTTATACTTTATTCATAAAATCATCCATTAAAACCTTTGTGACTTACCAAGTTATAATTTAGGGTTTGGTAGCTACACCTTCATCTGCCCTTGCAATTTATTTAATTTTTTTGTAAAATTATATATTTGTTGCAAGTTCAAACATTTTAGCGGGCTCAACGAGAAGATGAGAGGTATGCTTTATAGTGTTATTTAATTTATGTCATTTTATTCACTGCAATTTCTTTTCTCTTTCAAATTTTGTACATGTTCTGTTGTAAACCTTATTTTACGTGCAAAATAATTTTTTTCAAAATTAGTTAACAATTTTCAAAATTAAATAAAACTCTTTCAAAGGTAACCATAAATCCTTTGGAAAGCAAAATTTTCATAATACATCCTTTAGAAGTTACGGGAGTCCCTGGGATGAGGTAACCTTTGGTTGCTAACGAGATCTTCCCAGTTTAAATGAGCCTAACAACTCAATTAAGCTAAGTAAATTCAGAAGAAAATAGTAAAAGCGGAATGAGGGAACCGTGGGATCTTAACCAATGTTGCTCTAAACAACTTTAGCCTCCTCTTGATTGAACTTGAACATGTCATTTAAAGATTTAAACCTTAGACTTTAAGACAATTATTTCTTTAAGGAGCTTGGAGCTAACTTTGTGAGCAGCCTTCTACAACAACCCGAGAATCTACAACATCACATATTTTCCTTAGAATAAAACAACATAACCCATAATACTTCAAGGTTGTCTGCCTAGTGTGACAAAAATCCACAAATTTATATTTAGGCCTTTGCAATCATGTTGTGCAATATAAGCCCTAACTCATTTTAGGATTCTGAGGTTGTCATTCCTCACAACCTAAATCCTCACATCTTCTAAATTATTTGTGTGATTGTCTCGCACAAATGTAAGCCATAACTAATAAAATCAGCACAATGAAACATTCAATAATTTTCACTGAAATTGAAGCCAAATTGTAGGGTAGCTTGGGAAGTCACTGAGGTTTTCCTCAGGATTTGTGACAATCCCTAGTTCTTCCTCCTTTGGATTCCAAAATAAAATGTTCCAAACTTGAGCCTTTCCCATTTCATACCTCTTTGTCTGGTCTTTGTAAAGTCCTATCCTTTTGAATTCTTGGAGACAATATTTTTTGATCTAAATTGAGAGTTTTCTTAAGTGACTTCGGTCATTTAAGATGTAATTAACTATAGGGGCTTGCCTTTATAAGGAGCTTTAAGAACCTAGGTAATATAAACTTTGTCTAATTCTTTATATTAGATAAGGCAATTTTTCGATCAACATAAATGGTTTTTCATAGACTAAAAAAGATGTCATAATTTTTTTTATTTATTTAATCGAGGACCACAAACAAGTAGTGTATTCATTATTCGAGGTAGATATAATGCTTGCAGTGTTGTGCTTGATCATTTAAACTATTACATATATGAGATCAGTTTGGTCTTGTATTTTTAAAAAATAAAATGTTACTTTTTAAAATTATATATACATAAATTAAATTATACAACTTTTGAAACCGGGCATCGGGATATTCATTCCAACGACCGAAAATCTCTAACTTTTAACTGTAGACCCTGCCATCCATTTTAATACATAAAATTGGATGGCATCCAGCCATCGTTTCTAGTGTCTGATATGCCATAAACCGTTCGTGTTTAGGGCATAAGATCTCCGCAGATCTTGCATCAAACTTAATTATTTTTTTTCTTAAATCTTCATCACAACAAAACAAACACCTCCATACATATATTGAGCTATGGTGTGATGATTTCTTTCACAAAGGTACAAACAAAGCCTCATTTTTGAATTTTTGAGCACATAACTCATCTTGAGAGGTGAAGCCTCAATCGAGCTTGACAGAAATGGTCTGTAGGTCCTTGTGAAGCTCCTTTTGAGTTCAATTGGGAGTGAATTTAAATGGAGCTATATACAAGTTGAAATGGCCTCACAGTTTCACCTAACGACAGGTTAGAGCTTGTGGGAAGGTCTAATTTTGATTGGAAACTTCTTCATTAAGGTCAGTGATGGTGTTGGAGCGGTTTGATTAAAGTTTGAAAGATTTTTGTGCTGATCCAAAAAAATTGTCCTATTTCAGGGGTGAGAAGTTGAAGCTTTGTGATGGTTTGTAGGAGTGGAGATTATGGGGGATTGAATGCTTAGTTTTTGGGGAACAAGTCTTGTATAAAGTGTTTTTGGGTTTAAGAGTTGAAGGTTCTTCTTCTTTCTTTTAAGTAGCTCTCAGGTTGGCTTATTTATAGCCATGGAGAAGCTTTGGCTGAGCTTGAATTCAAGTGGAGGAAGATGGAGGTAGCTTAGGGAAGATC